CACCGCACAAACTGCAGAAGGCACACATTAGTGTCAGGTTACCCACCAAGGCTCACTGTCACGAAATAGGGCACCGCGTCCTGTTGCATCATTGCTTGGACAGCTGACCAGTCAGCAGCGCCACATGTCCGAAACACAGCACTACAGAACCCTCCCCCTCCCCTTGCTTGAGCACTCGCATCAGCGAGCGGCCGGGCGCCGGGCGACCGAGACCATACGCAAGATAGACCATAGGCCAGCGCAAGCCAAATACCGAAAGCCAAGCGTGGCGAGGCTGTATAGTGTTTGTATTGGTAAAAGGTATATGGTGAGCTCGTATGTTCCAAATGCTCGACCTTCCAGGAAGTGCTGCTTAATTTACGTTGACAAGCAGGCATTCGTACGTACTATAGAAAAACACGACGTTTCGAACGGCGCTTATGATCAATTGTGTTATTGCATCACCCCGCCCTTGCTAACTTACTGCGCACCAGTGTTTGTCTGACAAGGCTGTATAACCAGCACCTCCTGGTGTGCTGAAGGTTGATTATTTGCAGCATGAGCGCTCACGCCAAAAAAAACAGGCGAGGAAAAACTCCTTTTGTTTATATCAAACCATGTATTTCTGCATGTTCTGGTTTTTACTCCGTCCGTCGCTTCATAAATGGCAGATTCGCAAAGGATTGGCACGCGGCAATCACAACTGTTCGCTATTCTTAGTGCCGCCTCACAAGGTGCGTGAGCTGATCAGAAGTGACGCATGTCCTTCCCGGTTAGCTCAGTTGGGACAGCACTGGACTCGCGATCGAACGGTCCCCATTCGAATCCCTAAATTCCAGGCAGAGAATTGGGGTCGTGACTCACGCATAGTTGAAAGGAAGCGAGCCATCACGCTGTCCATCTCTCTATCTATCTATCTAAACCGGAATCTATCCCTCCTGACGGCGACCGGAGAGCCAACTGGCCGCAGCGTTGTGCTATCCATGCTAGGACACTAGACGATGACGATAGCACAACGTCGGTTGCAGTTTCCTATTGGGTTAGGGGAAAAGGTTCGATCCCAGCCTTGGGCTCCAGCCCCTTCAATTTTCGGAGGAAAGTGAGCCAAAATTGGGAAGAAACCCGTTTGTTGGCATATTCGTGTGTGTGGGGGGGGGGAGTTGTAAAGTACACTAGCGGGAAACATTCCACACTGGCATAATGCAGTACTTTTAGCCTTATCCCCGTCGAATAACCAGGAAAGGGGAGAGATAGATGCATTAATATTTCGGTTGCATGCCTTCATCAAAGCGATAATGAGATTTCGACTAAAAATAAAGCTGAAAGTACCGTCTTTTGGGGGTCGCTTGAGCTATTTTTCACTGTTCCGCTCCTCCCCAACTCATTTTGGAGAGTGCACCCCTGGTCTGAATAATTATCTCATTCGTGATGCTAATACATTGCTCCAATCAAACATTCTGTAAATCTATATCTTATCCTTCTACCAAAGCCTTTGGGGGGCCAAGCTGACACCCACCCGAGCACGTGTGAACATTGTAGAGATGTAAGGCGTGGTGGTGATAATAAGTGACTATTATCTTCTAAATATCACATATGGATGAAAATAAAAATCGAAGCCTACAGCTGCCATTTGTACAAAAATGGGCGTGTCTTTTAACTATTTAAAAGCGTATTTCTTGAGTAAGGTTCGGTACACAGCCTACATAAACATCGTTCTTTTCTGCTGTAGATAACACATGTTAGTTTGTGCACAAAATTAGTGAAACGTGATCAAATGGTAGCTGAAATGTTTACGCATATAGTCTTAAATCTCTGAGATCAGTTGCACACAAAATGCATCACGGGCTACGAACCCAATCAAAAAATTGTACCAAAGTACTCTGTTATTGGTGCGCATTAATGTATGAAACCTATCGTCACTCTTGCCCCGATATTTTTGAAAATCTTGATAAATGTTTGGCAGTAGGCACTCGGTCCGAAACACCACACATAACGATTGCATCACACACACAAAAACAGTGCCTTCGCGAATTATATGTGGCTTAAGAAGTGAATCCGTGAAAACCGTAGCATCTAGACGCAACCCGCCCTCCCCACCCGCTACCGTGAAAGGATGCACAGCATGCATACAGTGCACGCATTGCATGGATACATGCATATTGCCTGTCCATCAATCACATTTTCCGTTTTCCTTGGTGCCGTCCTGCGCTGTCTCACCACAAAGGGTGATGCTGATGTCCGATGCTACTGGCTGGATCACGAGAACCTCGACAAAAACAGCGTCTTGTCATGAGCGACACCTGGCCTGAGCACCACGCGGACGAGAGCCTCGACAAAAACAGCGTCTTGTCATGAGCGACACCTGGCCTGAGCACCACGCGGACGAGAGCCTCGACAAAAACAGCGTCTCGCCGAGAGCGACACCTGGCCTGAGCACCACGCGGACGAGAGCCTCGACAAAAACAGCGTCTCGCCGAGAGCGACACCTGGCCTGAGCACCACGCGGACGAGAGCCTCGACAAAAACAGCGTCTCGCCGAGAGCGACACCTGGTCTGAGCAGCACGTGGACGAGAGCCTCGACAAAAACAGCGTCTCGCCAAGGGCGACACCTGGCCTGAGCAGCACGCGGATGAGAACCTTGACAGAAACAGCGTCTCGCCAAGAGCGACATCTGGCCTGATTAGCGCGTGCCGGAGCGCCAAACGCAGCTCCCAGCCGGGCCGGCGGAATCACGCTATCAACAGTTCGTGTGTTCACAACCTCGCACGGTGCGTGGTCGGTCCGAGGTCAGTTCCTGAGTGTGAGGATCTGTTGAGAGCCCATCGAGAACACGGCGCATCCCCTTTCGGCCCAGTTCTCCCTTAGCCGCATCATCTACATACTGCGCCACTGCATGCTGACGACATCCAACTCTTTGACAGCATATCCATGACGTCACTGGTATGGCCTACCTGTAAATGTGTATCGCACAGTTGGTCTTTAATCTCCGAATCTATTTTACTTGATGAGGTTCAATATTATTTTTGACGAGCCGAACGTGCCTAACTTGTCTTGGGCCATAAAAAGCCGTTATATTTACGGCCAGTTTTATCTCACTTGACAGCATCTAGTTTTAGACTTTGTATTGACGCTGACGGCCAGCCGCCAGGCGAAAACTTCGTACCTTGTGCTTTGTTTAACCTCGACTGATGTCAACTAGTTATTTCTCAGCTGGCGCCGTGATAGAACCCCAAATTAGATGATAGAAGTCCAATTTAGAATGGCGACGCATTCTCAACTGAATAGTCTCACCGCACTTACAAAATCACAAACGCAAAAAAGCGTGTAATCGGACTTTCCTAAACATACTGTGGGACGTATGTTGAGGGAGCTTGAGCGCCTCGGAGAAAGACTCTGGACTCTTACTGAGTCATTCTCAGCCTCGCGAGGCTGGTGGTGAGAATGTGCACGACGGAAACAGACGTGGAGTTGATCCGCTTCAGCGAACTATGAATGTTTGCACGGAGATATAATACCTAATTTATGTGCATACTGGTAAGCCACACGTCTGCACCAGGATTGCACTGATTGACAGGAGCCTATGACAGAACTGGCCCTATGTTGACCATACGAGAGACGGACAAGATTCGGTTAGATGGCCGTCGTTGAGTTAATCTGACAACTTGGTGTATGAGACTAATACATGTCGTCCCAGTACAACCAGAATCCCCCAGAAGTTTGTGACCTCATGCTTACCCTGGTTTTGACATGATGGGTATCACAACTCCCTAGACTTGCAAGAGCAAACAGTGCCTGCGCAAACACTTAACCCCCGGCCGACTGCGTCTTATGAAGTCGTGTTGCCGGTGACGGCGATTTTCTCATCAGCTCGCCTGAGTTCACTCGGCTAGTCGGCCGGCGCTGGTTTCGTGGGACGGTGCGCCTCACTCGGCTAGTCGGCCGGCGCTGGCTTGGTGGGACGGTGCGCCTCACTCGGCTAGTCGGCCGGCGCTGGCTTGGTGGGACGGTGCGCCTCACTCGGCTAGTCGGCCGGCGCTGGCTTGGTGGGACGGTGCGCCTCACTCGGCTAGTCGGCCGGCGCTGGCTTGGTGGGACGGTGCGCCTCACTCGGCTAGTCGGCCGGCGCTGGCTTCGTGGGACGGTGCGCCCAACTTTGAGACGGTGCTACTATTCCTGAAGAGGCGCATGACGTTCTGGGAAACTGCCCACCCGCGCGGGTTGCAGTTGCGTAGGTGGGCCGTTTGCAAGAACGAGGACGAGGACGAAAACGACCGCCCGCCCCGTGATCCTTTGAACTCGGACAGGCCACGGTGCCGGGCTATCTGGATCGTGTTAAGAAACAGGGTCACGTTCGTCGCAGTGGCGCCTGTATAATGCTGATGGACGCTGCATTACCCGTTGCAGTCGACGCGCTCCAAAACCCCAAGATCATTATCACCAAGCTTTTTCGGGTATTGCGCTGCACAAAATCATATGCCGCGTTAATAAGAGACGACTGATTTGCAAGTTTGTGGCGTGCGTGCCTATGCGCGAAACTCGCGGAAAGTCAAGTTTCGTTTCCGAGAGAGAGAGAGAGAGAGAGAGAGAGAGAGAGAGAGAGAGAGGGGGGGGGGGGGGTACATTGCGGCATATCCGCTTATGTGACAACATTGGCCGGATGTTGAAAAAAGTTACAAATGCCATGACACCTAGGGATATAAGGAGCTCAGAGAATGCCACGAAGCGGCTCCACATCCCAGAGCAATTGGGCAAGGGAATCGCCCACTCCGAAAAGCCTTTACTGACTCGTTTGGATTCATACCGATGGTAAAATCACCAGGTTACCAGATTTGTAGGCCAGCTTGTCGCGACAGCTCCGGAAGGCCTCACATGCTACCACTGCGATTGTGTGGCAGTCATGCCCGCAGCACGTCAGCCAGGCCGTCGGGGCCTGAATGGTTGCAGCTGAGTGGCGCCAGGAGCCGGCTTCAACACCGACGCCAATGTCGATGGACGTGAGAAGACCGACGCGGTCTGCCATGTTCGGTCAGCCTGTATTTCGAGCACAATGAGCATGCTGTGAGCCGCAAATTTCACAATGTCGTGAGCGGCGTCGCTCAAGGCGCGAGTAAAGCACATTTGCTGACAATTTTTTAACAGACATCTCAGGCTGATTGCGCACAGTTCAAAATCAAACGCGAACGACGCGGTGAAAGTAGAACGTCGTTCATATTTAGAAGTGCGATAACCATCGACACCAATAGTATATATACAACACACCAAAAACGGCTTTGTCCCACGTCAATCCTCGTGTGGAAAAGTACAGCTCAGGGGTATTTCCGTCCCTCAGAAACGCCACATTTAGACACGCGTGATTTCAAGACATGTCGACAGAAGTTCGCGCACTGCACTCATAACCATCACTGACTGAAATCGTAAATTAAAACGATTGCTATACTGACTGTGTCAGCACTGCAATGGACTGACACGACCTCCTGTGATTCGGCTAGTGCTGCGAATGAGCAGATCGTTAGATTCGAACTCTCAGGGTTGTTCCAGAATGATTCAACTTGGGACCCTGTTTCTCCATGGACAGTGGTACGATCTTTCCACTTACCCGCAAGCTTACAATTTAATATCAACATATTCTCATTTCATGCGTCGACATGTTGATTACCAAATCGCACGTGGAGTCACCAAGTGCAAGTCACATTTGTCACCAGGATGGCCAACGTTAGCCGAGACACTATCGAGCAATCATCGTGCAAATGTGAATCTCGGGCTGCTGTTAACAGAAAACAACCTTGTCCCCATTAGGCAACACCAGCAGCACTGATTGACACGAGACGTAACACCCGGGGACGCTGATCCACGCATGACGTAACACCAGTGACGTCAGTCCACGCATAATGCAACACCCGTCACGTCAGGCCACGCCTGCCGACAGGACTGACAACTGGCGGCCCTCCGACACGGCGTCAAAGCGGCTCAGTCTGACTCTGACCTCGGCCACATCATCGCTGTCCGCCGATAGGCTGCCGCCAGTGACGTCAGCCGTGACGTCACGGTCCTTTCAGCGGGACATCAGCCATACCACCGCTGCTCGCCGTTAAGCTGCCGCCAGTGACGTCACCCTTGACGTCACTACACTCACAGCGCGGTGGCCACCTCGCACGTCCTCACCGGCTGTTGTTTGCCAAGTCCCAGCCCCTGACGTCACCGTCTGAAATAGCGAGGGGTCAAGTCATCCGTGACGGTATAGGAAACGTCACGATCGAGAAACGTCACAGTAATCACAGCGAGTTGGTTTTCGTGTTCTTGTGAGTTCCTGCAACGTATGCAGCGAGTACCGATTCAGAGGGACGAAGTCACGCTTCCACAGGCCAGCAGGGCTAGAATAGCTGCTGGACTCTTCAGGCAACGAACTCACACATCCAAAGAAGACGGCATTTGGCAGTTGGAGGCAGTTCACTATCTAGGTTTTGAAGTCGGTGCCACATTGCCAGCAATGTTCAGCGCCACTGTGGTCATAACGTCGGTGAAAAGCCAATGGGCAGCATCTTACAAGACACGAGGTCTGCATTGGATTTGTGCATGGGATTTTTGCAACTTTCCTGGACGACTCGTTCGCGCATTGCATAACTAAGATGAACTCGGGAAGACGCCTGGATTGGTGCACACGGGGGGGGGGGGGGGGGGGGGGGGGCGGCGCTTTTTCCAGCTCTCGAGGCCACCGCTTCATGATCGATTTTTGTGCATCCTATAGGCTGCTTGTAGGTGCGGTACGCAGTGCTCTTGAAGGATGTGTTCCAGCAGTGCGACGCTGCCTGTTCATCACCCAGCCTGCCAGGCCAGTTTCCCGCGAGAGAGGGCAATATGAGCGATTACGTGTCACGGCCACGTGCAGGGACACGCCTGAAGATCAGCGTTTGACGTCGGACGCCACACGGCCGCCAGCGAATGCGCCAATACCGGCGGGCGTGAGACGCGTGTGAGTGGGCCGTGCCTGTCACCACCTGCCATCAGCCCGAGCGACGACTGTTCATGAGAGCCCGCTGAGGACAGTCTGAGAGCCATCAGACGCTGCCCTGCGCCTCGCCGGGATCGTTCTCAAGGGCAATACGGAGCGTGCTGCACTCGTCCCGGGCAGGCTGCAGCTGTCGCTTCGGCTTATTGGCAAAGTTCTGGCAGGTTGTCTCACGCTCGGCCGCTGGACGACGCTCGTCGGCACAGCGCCCTACACCGGCCGTCACGGCTGGGCAGGGCAGTCAGGGCTGCTCACCGCCGCTCACGCTCGGCCGCTGGACGACGCTCGTCGGCGCAGCGCCCTCTACACCGGCCGTCACGGCTGGGCAGGGCAGTCAGGGCGGCTCACCGCCGCTCACGCTCGGCCGCTGGACGACGCTCGTCGGCACAGCGCCCTACACCGGCCGTCACGGCTGGGCAGGGCAGTCAGGGCTGCTCACCGCCGCTCACGCTCGGCCGCTGGACGACGCTCGTCGGCACAGCGCCCTACACCGGCCGTCACGGCTGGGCAGGGC